CCAGCTGGCCATGGACTGTGCATTCACAAAGGTGGAGGAGAACCTCCTGATGCAATTTGCGTGGGGCATCAGCGACCTAAAACTGCGGAGGAAGATGATCGGGACTTCCGACATCAAGATCGACGCAGCCCTCCAACTCGCCATCGCCCACGAGGCCTCTCACCGTGACTGTCCGCTGGCGGCATCTCACAGCGTACTCCCCAACTCGGGCTCCGAGAACTCGGAGGAGGAGGTCCGCCTCGTCCTCCGGCCCTCGCACCGAAAGCCACCGAGACCTGCGGCATTGGAATCCACCAGAAAGACTACAGGACGTTCCTCGTGCGCCAGCTGCAGCAAGGTCCACGAGCGTAAATCTTGTCGATTCCGCGATGTGACGTGCCACAACTGTGGGAAACAGGGCCATCTCGCTCATGTCTGCCGGTCAAAGGGAAGCCGGCACCAGCAGCCTCCAGCTCAGGTGCGCCGCCCGGCCGCCGCCACCGACGAGACGGCAGCAGAGACGTCCAACCTCTACCACCTCACAGACCAACCATCCCTACAGGTACTACGCCTCCCGAAGGTAGAGGACACCCCGAGGATCCAATTAATGGTTTGGATCGAAGGGTCCCCCTGTCCAATGGAAGTGGACTCAGGGTCAGCGGCGTCCATCAAAGGGGGGCCCCCGCTTACGCCCATCCCATCTGAGTCTAGTGGACTTCCAAAGGAACCCAGTTCCTATCAGGGGGGTGGGGACGTTCCGGATACAGTTCCAGGGGTTTGAGGGACTGTTGGACTTGATCGTGGTAGAGGGAAATCTGGTCAGTCTGCTGAGCTGAGCCTGGTTTGCACCGCTGGGCATCACGTTTGGGCTCAGGGGAGTGCATAAATGTGTTCAGAGGGATTTTGCTGAGATTTGCGGGGAGTTCCCGGCTGTGTTCGATGGGGCTTTAGGATGCTACAAAGGGCCTCCAGTTTCCTTGCAGTTAGACCCCCTGGTGGCTCCTATCCGCATGCGGTTCCGCACAGCTCCACTCGCCATACGACTAAAAATCGACGCAGAGCTGGACCGCTTGGTGGCGCAAGGCGTCCTGGAGCCAGTTCCACGCACTATATGGGAAATGCCCATCGTAATCCCCCTCAAGACCAACGGTGAAGTCTGCATCTGTGCGGACTACAAATGCACAATTAATAAGGCCCTCCACGACCACTCCTACCCAGTTCCGGTCGTTAGTCATGTTATGGCCTCGCTAGCGGGGGCTAAGATTTTTGGGAAACTTGACCTGGCACAAGCATATCAACAGCTGCCGGTCGACGAGGCCACAGCCACGGCGCAGACCATAGTCACCCACAGGGGGGCCTTTAAGGTAAAGAGGCTACAATTCAACTGGGAGCTACTCCTCGGAATGAGATTTCAGCCGGTGGCTATGAAGAAAGGCAGTCCTTTAGGGGTGTTCGTCCCAGGCTCCTTGAGGCTGAAAAGGCCCTTCTTTCTCCCAGCGCTGGCTTTCTAGTTTGTACTCAGGGCCGGCTCACCCACTAGGCAAACTAGGCATTCGCCTAGAGTGCCAGGCCCTGGATGGGGCGCCAAGCTGTGCCTCCCCTCTCCTCCCCCCTTTGGTGGTGGTGGCGGTGGGGGGGAGGAAGCGGTGGTAGTGGCAGCAAAAGGGTGGCTGGCTCCAGCGGTCTCCAGGCCCCACCGGGAGGTTGGCATCTACGCCATAAGGCGCAGGGTGCAGAAAAACCTCGAGCCGGCCCTGTTTGTACTCCACCCTTCCGTGAAGCCTCAGGGCAGTTGGCAGTAAGACAGAGACTACTCTGCATGTTCAGTACATGCAAACTGGCCACTGATCTTTTTTCAGGGTTCTGGTTCAACCCTAACCCAGTACCATTGGAGTCAGATCATTTTTGCAACTTATTTGAACAGCATGGTGACCTTGGGCCAGTCACCCATGCAAGATATGTGTGCTTAACCCTATTCAGGCAACGGCATGGCCACATGTTTTGTGAGCACTGTAGATAGCACATGCTCCCAATCAGTTTTCCCTCTAAGCTGAGTCAGTGTGAGCCAGCTCACAGTTTTTTAGCCTCCGGCTCACACATTTTTGTCTTAGCTCAGGAAGGACGGCTCCAGAGCAAAGTGATTTTATGCAGCAGCCAAATCGCTCGCTCACCACTTTAATGCCAGTGGCTCACAAAGTAGAATTTTGCTCACAAGACTCCACAGCTTAGAGGGAGCATTGCTCCCAATATGCACAGCTGCCAAGCATTTTTTTTCCCTGGATTCCCTCCTCCCCCGGTGGTACATCAGTTGCAGCAGGAGCAACATTCACCTGAGCAGGTCGTGGAAAGACATCCATCCTTCCCTCCTGTCTTCGGAGACCAGGATCCGGCTTTTCAGGAAGTGGCAGTCGGACGCAACGGAATCTACTAATGGCGCTAAGGCATTGTTGGTTATGATGCTTTTGGCTTTGGAGGCTTGGAGCCTGTACAGGATGTCTTTAGCAGTCAACAGGACTGTAGCAGGAGCAAAGACTATGCCTGGAAGTGAAGCAAAGTGCAAACGAAAGAAATAAAGTAATGATCCACTCTGCACCCCTCCAGCCCATTCAGAGCACACAGAGTTATACTGACCGGCTCTCATGCAGCCCACGGTTACAGCCCACCACTCTGGTATCCGTGGCAGGATGACGATGACTCTGTCTCCTTTGTGTAGATCACAGACGCTGGAGAGCACGTTGGCAGCCTTCCTGGACAAGAGTCCCAGCTCCTCAAAGCTCCACTGAACCTCCTCTCCTCTCTCACTAACCCACCACAGTGCTGGATTGGGGGCTCTCTTTCCGTCCTGTCAGACACACAGGTGGTGTTTTTTTTTTAATTTAAGAAATGGGATGTAGGAAACGAGCACTCCATCGCCATACCTGGTCTCACTGTTGGAACTTAACTCTGACGTGAGTGGAGGAATTAAGGTAGCGAGACACCACAGTGTCGTGACCCTTGGGCCTGTCGCGCACTTTCAGCCTCGCTTTCCTTACAGGGGTGAGAGGGGAAGAGAACAATGTAAGTCGCCTCAAGTCCCCACTCAGGAGAAAGGCGGGATATAAACGAAGCAAATGGATAAAGTCAGGGCTATTTCTGGGCAGGAACGCACAGGAACGGAGTTCCGCCTGGCTCCCGAGTTGGCCACGCCCAGCAGGAACCCATTAGCATAATAGGCCACACCCAACAGCAGAAACTCATTAGGATTGGCTACATTAGGGGTGTGTGGCCTAACATGCAAAGGAGTTCCTGCTACAAAAAAACGCCCTGGGTTTTGACAACAAACAAGGTAAACAGAATAAGAAGCAAAAGGTGGATGTGGCTGGATGACCACACTTCTGGTAAAACAGGGGTGTGGCCTCACATGCTAATGAGCTGTGCTGTCAGGGGTGTGACCTA